GGACCCCTTCTCGCCGGCTTTTCGTGGCACCCTGGCTCTCTTGTTTATGGGGCTCCCCCAGGGGAAAATTGTGGTTTGGGCTCCTTGGGGATCCCTCGAGGGAGCTGATTTGGAGAGGGCTGCAGCTGTTGGGGGAGGGTGTGGGCAAGCGGGGAAGGGGGGAGGAGGGGGTGGCAGTGGCAGCAACCCGCGCAAAGGTCTGACAGCTCCTTAACATCAGGCCTGGGGAACCCTCTGTTCTCCAGACCAATGAAGGTCCCACAGAGTCCTGAGAACACACTGGGGACAAGCTCTGGGCTAGGGCTGGAAGACCTGTGTCCTGGCCCCAGGTTTGCTAGGACGCGGAAGATACGTACCCTTCCACCAGCCCCGTTTGAGAGTCTTGTTGCCACACCCAGAAAGTCCTGCCCTGCTGTCTTCACCGGAACTTGCTTGGCTCCAGTAGCCAGCTGGCTGGGTGGAGAGGCATCCAGGTACCCCTGAGCAGAGGGGCTAGACCATCCTAGAGCCCACAGGCAGCCACCTGGCCAGCTTGTAGCCTTCCTGAGCTCACCTGGCTGCCGGGTGGAGAAGGGCTTGTCATATGCCGCCAGTGCACCCCGAGAGGCCAGGAAGGAGGCCTTGGAGCCGTCCTGTAGCCTGCACTAGGGTGGTGACAGTGGCAGTGGCAACGGCAGGACAAGGAGAGGTGTAGAAGGCGGGGCACGGTGGAAATATGCTGCGGGGGAGCATATGCCATGATGAGGAAGATACAGAGGGTGGAGGAGAGGGAGAGGCCGGAGTCTGAAAGCTGACCACTTTGGGCTGTAGGGAAATATTAGCGTGGCTGCACGCGCCCCTCGTTCTCTGAAGTGGGGGAAAGGGCACTTCCAGGCACAGGGAGGGTGGGCCACCGAGCCTTTCCTCTCTTCCAGGGATCTTGAAGCTCCGCCACATCTGGAACCTGAAGCTGATGCGTTGGTGAGGAGGAAGGGGCCCCTCCCGCGGGCCTGGCTGGCCCTGCTGGTCTCTGTCTGAATTTCCCCTCCTCATGCTCTTCCCAGGAGGTGGTGTCCAGCAGCCCAGGCAGGGCACTGGGTGGGCCCCACAGGCCCGCCCCCGTGCCTCCCCTCTTGCTGGCACTGGGGT